AAACTTTGGTGAGAATGAAAAATATTAAGGAAATCTTTCAATAAATGATGGACTTAAAAAATAGTTTTATAATGCTCTTAATTCTCATGTGTACAAATAGCTACTAGGTAAACTCGAAAGTTTTTCAACACATGCATCTTTACGTTATTGCCATAATTAGTACTGAAATCATTACATGGGTCCTTATAAACATGAATCCCTATACCTAAAAGACAGGATATCAGTTATAACCACGCATTTTTCCATTTATCAACTAAGTAACAGACAACAAAATTGAACAAATAACATGTATTTGTTCTACATTTATCAATGAAGTTTACGACACATTCTATATTGGGCAAATCTTAGTTAAATGTGATGTTAATTTCCAACTTGGACTAAATAGCAGTACGTACGGTGCCACTTGCTATCACACGCACGCCAGACCCAGCGAGCGTTTTATGTACAATTGACCTTTGGCAAAAAATTAGACGCCAGAATCTCGCGCATGCTCAATGCGTAACATCGAAGTGCCCGCTGGTGCGTACTGTTTACCCGTCGGCGCGCACTATTTACCCCGTCGGCGCGCCCGACTTCATTTACCTTAGCGGCCGGCGTACTGTTTACCCGTCCGAGCGCGCACCTATTTACCCTTGGCGCGCATCTATTCACCTCGGCGCACACTTGTTTACCCGTCGGCGCGCACTATTTACCCTCGGCGCGTACTGTTTACCCGTCGGCGCGCACTATTTACCTTCGCGCGAACTATTTACCCTCGGCGCGCACTATTTACCCTCGGTGCGCACTATTTACCCTCGGCGCGCACTATTTACCCTCGGCGCGTACTGTTTACCCGCCGGCGCGCACTATTTACCCTCGGCGCATACTGTTTACCCGTCGGCGCGTACTGTTTACCCTCGGCGCGTACTGTTTACCCTCGGCGCGTACTGTTTACCCGCCGGCGCCCACTATTTACCCTCGGTGCGCACTATTTACCCTCGGCGTCACTGTTTTACCGTCGGCGCGCACTATTTACCCTCGGCGCGCACTATTTACCCTCGGCGACACTGTTTTACCGTCGGCGCGCACTATTTACCCTCGGCGCGTACTGTTTACCCGCCGGCGCGCACTATTTACCCTCGGCGTCACTGTTTACCCTCGGCGCGTACTGTTTACTCTCGGCGCGTACTGTTTACCCNACATATATGTACCTCGGGTACATATCTGTAGTACCTGATACGACAACGACCCCTTGAGCAGTACTGAAATCATTACATGGGTCCTTTATAAACATGTATCCCTATACCTAAAAGACAGGATATCAGTTATAACCACGCATTTTTCCATTTATCAACTAAGTAACAGACAACAAAATTGAACAAATAACATATATTTGTTCTACATGTATCAATGAAGTTTACACACATTCTATGTTGGGAAAATCTTAGTTAAATGTGATGTTATTTCCAACTTAGACAAATACAGTACGTACGGTTCCACTTGCTATCACACGCCACGAAGACCCAGCGAGCGTTTTATGTACAATTGACCTTTGGCAAAAGTTCACGCCAGAATCTCGCGCATGCTCAATGCGTAACTACAAAGTGGCTTATTACGCCCCGGTAGTCGAAATGGATAAAGCATCGGTCTCCTAAACCAGGGATTCTGGGTTCGGATTCCACCTCGGGAAATGCTTTGTTTCTTCACTTTTTGACTGTTTAGTATGTACTTCTGTCACTTCACCGTTAATTTCAAAATTTAATTTTTTTGCTACATTTAAGTTTCGAAAAAATCCAGAATAAACTATGGTAGAGGATAATAATAGCTCAAACTGACGGGAACACTTCACGGAAGCCTATGTAGGTTACAGATCAAATATTATTATATTTTTTCATATAATTTTGTTTTATTAATTTGAATTTTTTAATTTTTAATTTTAATGTCTTTTATCTTTTGCTTTCTTATTATTTTTTACTGTTTGGGATGGGATGGGATAGCATGGAATGGCATGGGATGCGATTGGATGGCATGGCATGGCATGGCATGGCATGGGATGCGATGGGATGGCATGGGATGGGATGATATGGGATGGGATGGGATGGGATGGGATGGGATGGGATGGGATGGGATGCGGTGCAATGGAATGGGATGGCATGGAATGGGATGCATGCATGCATGCATGGATAGATAGATAGTTAGATTTTTGGGGGTATTTTCCTTTCAACCAAGCCGTCCCCAACTGATATACCTATCTAAACGAACATGTGAGGAATTCATCAATCAGATTTGATGCAGCACAATCGAACACCTTATCAGTGCAATGAAGAAATACAAGTATTATTCTGTTTTATTGGATTCTATTTATATATATATATATAATGAGGCCCAGCTGACTTTGATTGTGCGCTACGTTTTGCCATTTGGACAAGTTGAAAAATTTGTGAAGGGTTTAGATATGACAGTGCTAAACAGCTTGGTCAAAGTTAACTTGACTTTTTAACGAAAAATGACATTGATATAAAAGACTGTCGTGGACAAAAACTTCTGACGTTACCAGCAACATGAGTGGCATGTGTGGAGGCTTAATTACAAGCCCGAATTAAAGAGCTGAATGAATTTGAAAATTACATTGCATGTTTTGCACATTCACTGATTTTGGTTGGAAAATGTGCTGCTGAATGTTATCAGGATACCTTAATTTTCGTTGGATTTTTCGAAAGCCTGTGCACATATTTTCGGCTTCTACCTATCCGTGGGATCTTCTTTCTACTGCATTATCTAATGGTGGTGCTCATTTCCCCGTTCTGAAAAGAATGTCACATTAATTCCAGGCGGTCGACAGCTCGTGTAGATGCAACAAAAGCACGGTTACGCCGCTTTTCTACAATAAAACAACATTGACTCGACATTTTAATAAATAATGATCATGCAGAGAGCAGAGTGTCGTTAGCAGGCTCGGGGACTACCTTTAACCATGATGACGTTGAAAACATGAATAATCCACGCATTGTGCGAGTATTACAGCGCTTTTAGATGACCAGTATTTCTTCTGACCAAGACTTGAACACAGCTTGTACACTCTATGAATCATTGCACGGGTATATTCAAGCTATGCAGTCTACCTTTTTAGACATTGGGCAACAAGCCAATTAAGGGTCTATCTGAGTGTGAAGATTGTCAGCAGCAAGAGAACACAAGCGAAATCGCGAATATGATGATTTCAGCGGCTCTAACATTCTTGATCATCGTACTGCATCTTTGCCGAACATCTCTTGACATTATTGATAGTTTACATTCTTCCCTGTTAAAACGCCAAAATGCTTATCAAAAGGCATTGGTGTATTTGAATTTGTCTGTTACAGACGATTACACAGAAAGAGATTATAATGGGGTCATTAAATCTCATCACACCATATCTAGATAATCTGGAAGAAAGTCTCTGTAAAAAAATTATTAACCGGTAGACTCTGCTTCAAAGCTGTGTGTCTTTTTAAATCTTCGGTGTCCCGGTGTTTACATCGGCATGCGTAAGCGTCCGGCTTAATTTCTTCTGCTGAATAATATTTATTGATAGAGTGGCTCCTCATGACTCGTATTTTCCGAGGGGATAAATATGTGCGTTTATTTATGGCATGCTATATAGTCCGTAGGGGAGACCGGGGACAATTGTAACACGGGGCAAATGTAACAGAGGCCTTCATTCCTAGTAGAAACGTGCTATATGTATACGCTCTTCACAGCGCATGCACATTTCATTGCCCCACATGCTGTCCTGAGGGTAGGCAGGTTTACGCATCGAGGAACATTTGACAGCCAAAACATCGTTGTTTTAGCAGGTAAGTAAAATCTCGAATTACCTAATGTTTTTTTTCTGGACAAATATTAACTTGATCTATCACTGTCATTACTGCTAAGATACAAAAACAGCCCCCAAATTATAGCCGTCTCCTCGGGGGCAAATGTAACAACGTGTTACAATTGCCCCTTGGCATGTATAAAGATTATGTGTTTTACAAACTGTGTTTTGTTTATAAGGCAAAAAAGTAGCCTATCTATAAGCTCAGACATGAGAACTACATAACTTTGAATTAATGGGTCTGTAAATATGTTTTGTTCACAAGGCAATAAGTAGCCTATTTATATATTTTATTCATATGTAAATGAGTCAAGCATTCGTCATAGTTTTTATTAAAATTATTTTATTGTGGTTCTATAAATTGCTGTTTAATTGTTGAAAATCTGCCCAACGTGTCACCTTTATAAAAAATATAAAAAATCTTTTTGAGGGATATGATTTGTTGGTACAATTGTATGTGTTACAATTGCCCCATTGGTGTGTTACAATTGCCCCGTGTTGTGGGGCAATTGTAACACTTGACTTCCAGTTTTGAAATGATAATGGCTTCAAAATAACTTGTTTTACTTAACCCAAACTTAGTCATATTTCAAGCCAAGATATGCATCTTTAATTTGATATACCTTGAAGTAAGTATTTAACTATAATAAAGTTGTTATGTCAGATTTGGAAAAACAGATTTGTTACAATTGTCCCCGGTCTCCCCTACATTAGCCTAAAGTTTTTGTAATTTGGCTGATATATTATATTTTAACGTTGTTATGTGGTAATCGAATAACTGTAGTGTCTATACGAACATTCATGGCAACTTTTCATCCGGAGCTAGGATTATGCCATCTTGAACCACGGATGAAACCCTTTAGGTAAGGCTTATAAGGCGATCCATGGCATACACGCACCTATGATAATTAACTCCATCCACTCAAGAAACGCAGCTGTTCCATCCTTTACAATAACCTAGCATTTATATATAAATGGTCATCATCCTGGGCCATCACTAACCTTAATACATACACAAGTGTTCTTTTCATGATATGGAAATGTATAGATACGACTGCGTCGTTCCAGCTAGGTCATCACTAATAAGAACACACACAGCTGTTCCTTCCGATATGCTAATAACGGCTACATAGTGTTGATAATATCTCGCAGACACAGCTTGGTCAGCACTACTGCCCACTCCCCAGACATTGACCGGTGAGTGCGTTTATCATTGACTTTCATCCTGTAGAATGAGGCTATAATAGTTGTAGTTACATATATATATTGTACTTATATATTGTATTTCAAGATAATTTGTTCGTGGTTTATGTTTAGTTTACTGATGATGCCTTTATATTTTGCAAGGCTACGCGAATTTTTTTTAAACATTTACTGATAAAATTACCGTAAACTATTAATACATGCACTATCTTCACAGTGTGTGTATTTCAATATGTATTCATTGATTTAGGACAGCGCGCTGCATTATCATTACATTCATCCTAATTTCGCTGGATAAGCAGCTCGTAATGTACTTGTGCTCATGTGGTATTATATGATAATATAACGTCTATCCTAAATATTATATATCCTATATAGTAGTAAACGAACAAACTCGTTGGTATAGCTTTAACACATGCACAGCATAGTTCATTTTCTAAATTCATGATTCATTCGAGCGTTGATCGACGTCCTCGTCATCAATATATTTGTCTGCTAACTGGAGCCAAAACAAAACGTTGCTACATGAGTTTTAATACGTGAAAGGCTCAATCCTACAAATTTTACTTCAGGGACTACTTCATTCTATATAGCTTGCGTCTGCACTCAAAATATTTAGAAAATTTTCAGGCAAAATCCTTTTGTCTATCTTCTGGATAAAGCCACACGCCACACGCCACACAATTGGACATTGGCATAAAAGTGGAACACGCCAGTAGATGGCGTTTTGAGACATCAGGCCGGAACAAGCGTAACACAAAACTTCAGTAAATATACTTAGAGTGTATACGCAACATACCCTGTATGTACGCAAATGACTATGGATTCAATAAGCGAGTTCGTAATCACAGTCTGCGCATGCGTAAACTTCTTCCGGGTCAGGTCATTTGTGAAAAAATTTCGTATTTCGACCGCACAGTACACATACGCATGCATCGGTGTCGTTGTAATGCTACAGTCTTCGTGTGTGTGCACGTACACGTGCGTGCGTGCGTGCGTGTACACGTACACGTGCGGGCGCGCGTGCGTGTGTGCGTGCGTACGTGCATGCGTGCGTGCGTGCGTGCGCGCGTGCTTGTGCACGTACACGTACGTGTCTGCGTGCGTGCGTGCGTGCGCGCGTGCTTGTGCACGTACATGTGCGTTGTTTGCGTGCTTGTGTGTGCACGTACGCGTGCGTGTGCACGTACACGTGCGTGCGTGCGGGCGTGTGCACGTACACTTGCGTGCGTGCGTGCGTGTGCACGTGTGCGTGCGTGCGTGTGCGCGTACATGTGCGTGCGTGCGTGTGCACGTACATGTGCGTACGTGCGTGCGTGTGCACGTACACGTGCGTACGTGCACGCGCGTACGTGCGTGTGCACGTACACGTGCGTGCGTGTGTGCGTGGGCACGTACACAGAATACATGTACATATACGTACTGAACCGAGAGCGCACGCCGCACTCGAGATTTCACCGATTTTTGTCACAAATGACCCGGTGACCTGTCACATCACAGAACCCCTTGGCTAACTACGAACTCGCTTATCTCCAAACTCCAACTCTTCATAGCGGCATAATGCATATTTTTCTGTAATCCGCTTCATACATACATCACGGTGGCCCCGTCACCATGGCCACTTCACTTGAGATATTCTATTTAAATATTTGCGGCGTGTCCTGCTGCTGCTGCTGCTGCTGCTGCTGCTGCGCTATCATTTGATCGTGATTGGTCGAGACTGGTGCATGCGCCTGCGTAATGCGCTTGCGCAGTTCGTTGCATAATATATTCGTAAAATAAAAGTTAGTTTTCATGCTTTAAATCCATCCATAAGGCATCCAGCTTATCCATATTTATACAATGTTGATTAATTTGTTACACGCCGAAATGCCGAATCACAAGAAAAGGAAAACTACTCTTCTACAAAGTAATACAATATGGTGAACAATATGTCGCGAAGGATAGCTAGGTTGGGTGCCAGCAGTCGGGTCGCACTGAACCTAGGTTTTTACTGTAATAATCGGTTATTTTAATTTAATAAAACGAATTTTATCGGAGGAGGAATTCAACAAGAAAAATGTGACTGGTGTTTGTGTTAATACAATAAAGTAGTCTGTAAAACAACAACTTAATGGCTGTGAATCTTTTTTATAATACATCACTTTATTTTTACTCGCAATATTATAAGTGTTAATTAGTATTTTATTCGTAATTTTTAGGTTAATCTGTGAGAATCTGGTAATATCTGCTTCACGCACTTGCGCCACAGAAATTTAAACGGAGAATTACATCATAAATTTACTGTTTAAAACTTTTAAGAATATGCTTATATAATTTTATTAGTTTGAGATATTGTTATTTTAGGTACTACAACAGATGGCACGAATAGGTACAGATATTATGTGGCGACAAGGAGTCATATTTGCCGCGTTCGCTTTGATTCAGTGCGTACACAGTCGGGAAATTCCCTACTGGGGTAAGGTATTTATAGCTATAAAATGTGTAACAGATACATGTAAAAATTAATGGTAGCTGTGTTAGCATTGGGAGTTGACACAGGAAATAACACATGTTGAGCTCTATAACCCCTTCGTGCGTTCAGTTATATACTTCTTTCAGTGTAATTCATATTTTTATTGTGTATGTTATAAATGTTTTGCTTAATATTCCCACTAAATAACAACTGTACAAAAGAGGGTAGGCACGACTCACAAGAATTTGCATTGATAATCTAACACTTAGTAAAATTATATACTATTTATGAGTGATTTTGTTTGTAATGTAACGCTAATATATGTATAATTATTCAAATTCAAAGCATTGAATAATTTCGCGTTAAAACAATAACCTAGGGTACTGCAATTAAAATATTATTCTATTTACACGCAATAAAATGAGTATTTAGTAAGAAAATTATGACAAACAAAAAGTCAATAATAAACAAGCTAGCGTAGTCAGATGAATGAAAGATATTGTTCGTTGTGGAAGCTAACATACGATTACAAAACAGCATGCCTTCCAAATATTAAAAAATGCACTATGTGGCGAAAAAATTGTGACTTTTTAGTACGATTTTATGGTTCTAGCTGAGCATGCTCGTGGTGAAAGCAACGGTCACGTTCTGGGGCATATCAGCCCTCAATCTGAGCACAATCATAACCCGACGGAGAATATGGGTTTCATAAGTGCTGATGGAAGAGTACCAGAGAATGTTGTAAGTGAAAATGTCATACATATATCCTACATTCAGTACATGTAATTATATTATGGTCATATAATAAGATGTATGATATTATCGCAATATGATCATGGCGGACACCATATGTGGCCGTATAATATCAGGCGTGAATAAAAACAATGTTTTTATTCAATCCTGATATAATCGTAATTTTCGTATGTTACAGTTGGATCAGAAAGATAATGTATTTAAACAAACATACAAAAAAAGTGAAAATAGTATTCTAGCTGAATCAAGTGCAAATTCATGAATGCTCCCGTAAAAATGTTGATTATTACTGGCCCGCTTATGAGCAAGCAAATTATTTCCTCGCGCAGGTAAGTATATAGCAGCATTTGCTGTGAGATGCCGGTTTCAACGACCCATGCAGGCCCTATCAATCATTGGTTGGCGCTGTTCTGGCGCAAAATAAAGGTAGCTGAGGGCAGCTATAAATTCCCATTGCTGTCTATTTAACATTTGGGAAATCATTTTGTACGCGTGTGTTTCTACACAGGACATCCACCGGGGGCGAAGTGACGAGGAATATAAGCAGCAAGCAACTCTCTACAGACAGATTGTGCATGAGTTCCGTCTTAATCATGGATTGCCGGTACAAAATATATGCAGGGGTGTCGGAAATAGTCAATCTACATCTTATTAAGCAGCTGAATTACCAAAAGTAAATAATTACACTGTAACGCTTACTCGGTTGAGAGACGCTCTCTTACGGAATACATTTGATTTCTAATGTCGAAATTTAAAAATATCAGGAGCAAAACAGTTCATGCAATTATGCATACTAATTATAATTACAAAATAATTAGGTCGGTCCATCCGATGAAGTTTGGGATGGCTTAATAGAGGGAGATATAGTGCCAACCTTAAGCGACCTTCAGGAAATGCTCGAAGAGATAAGGAACCCAACTAGAAGAAAGAGGAAAATGACATCTGACACTGCTGTCTATTGGACTTTGCCGATTCCGTATGTTTTGGTAGATATGAGTAAGTAATTACCTCCGCCAAGTAGGTTATGTTTTTGCCCCTGTTAGTTTGTTTGTTGGTTTGTTTGTTGGTTGGTTTGTCTGTCAACAGGATATCTAAAAAAGTTACGGACGGATTTTGATGAAATTTTTTGGACGGGTTGGTCTTGGGGCAAGAACCAATCGATTAGATTTGCGTGGTGATCCGGATCCAGATCTGGATCCAGGATTTTTTTTGTGGGGAAAACTTCGGACGCATTCAACATTCATTAAAAAAACCTGGAGCTTTTTTTAAAAATCAAATTTCTGAAAATTTCATCAAACTATATTGGGTGTACCAGTAAGATGGGGGGGGGGGGACTGTTACGCTGTGGCGGAGGTTTGCTATTTCCGATTGCTCTTGTTGTTATTGTTTCGCTGTTATATATGGTAGATATTGTTAGGAAAAGTATTTATACCTGTCAATTTGGTTATAACGCAAACGATTTTTGCATGTTACTCAGATAGACAGGCAGACATACAAACATGTATACATACATACATACATACATACATACATACATACATACATACATACATACATACATACATACATACATACATACATACATACATACATACATTACATACATACATACATACATACATACATACATACATACATACATACATACATACATACAGTACATACATACATACATACATACATAACGATACATACATACATACATAGACCTCGGTTTCTAATACTGCCACTACGGAAAAACGGGTACGATATGTGACCGCCGCCTATTTCCTATTTATCGACATGTTTCATTATGTTTCTATTATGAACGTTACTTCTACAGACTGAATCTTTTTTCGATTTAATCTTCTTCCCTTCGCACTCTCATTCTTCGAGTTTTTCCACTGACACGGTAACTTGGCTTGCAGTAAAATGTTACATCATCATAATATAATGAAATATCTGCGACTGCAGAATGATAACTATACACGGACTGTAAGTACTGCCGTCTGTCTGCAGGCATTTGTAAACGATTCAGACCTGGATTTGGATTTACTGTCAATTGAGACAGTGATTCCGGTATATGAGAATAGGATAGGAGATCAACGCGGACTGTCATTCTATGATGCGCTAACAGCTAACCTCGCATACTGTAATGGAGATGGTTCGTATATCAGCGATTTCTACACAGCTATGCTATGAAAAGTTTCTATACTAAGGCTATTACGCACGTATAATATATACGCACGTAATAAACATAACAAAGCGTATGAACGAAATAAACGTGTCTTCTAATGATTAGCGAAACTGTGGTGCATCCTTGTTTGCGTGTGCGCTCACCTAAACCTAGTTGTATATCTGAAGTGGTATGGTAAACTGAATCTTTGTTAATACACGATAGACGTCAATAATAAAATAACTAAGCCAAACAAATAATTTGCAATTACTAGTGTGTGAGTGCGCGCGCGCGCGCGTGGTGTGTGTATATTATATAATATTATATGTGTTGTGTGTGTGTGTGTGTGGTGTGTGGTGTGTGTTGTGTGTGTGTGTGTGTGTGTGTGTTGTGTGTGTGTGTATGTGTGCGTGTGCGTGTGCTGTGGCGTGTTGCGTGTGGTGGTGTGCTTGTGTGTGTGTGTGTGTGTGTGTTGTGTTGTGTGTTGTGTGTGTGTGTGTGTGTGGCGTGCGTAAATATAATAAATTATAAACATAAAACAT